TTCAACAGTAAAGCTCACATTTTATTATCAAAGTCATGTTTCATTCCATTTTATTTAAGCTCCTTCTCAGAGCTGGAGTCCTTGGAACATACTGACAATGTGATCTTTAACTTAGTGGCACTCTTCCACTGTGGTATGAAGCAAATGCAAAGGCAGTTCCCTGTTCAAGCCAGAGCCACTTCAGGTGGTGACAGTAAAAGCAGGATAAGGCCCATCAGCCAGGGCAGGTGGTATGGACGATGGGTGGGTAGACCCAGACACACGGGGGCACAATGGGAGTGCCAGAGGTCCCCTAGGATCATGACCACTTCCCAGTGAGGATTATACCACAGAATTACAACATAACTTACTTAATCATTGTTTCTAGGGTTTATGTATGTGTGTTTATGATCGTAAATAATACAAAAATAAATTTCTTAAAATTTGAAGTATTTGTGTTTTAGAATATTATCTAAAATTAAATTTCCAGATTTAGAATTGATTATAAAACTGTTGCAACAGAAATATATGAGAGGGTTTTTTTTAAATGCATCTGACCAAGAATCAAACAATGTCTCTTTAAAAGAATCAGTAATAGGTATAAATTATATTTTATTGATTTCAGTTGTATTTCTTTATTTGTGAGAGTGAACACTTTTTCAAATACTTATTTTTCCCTTGACTTCTCTGTTTTGTAAATTTTGTTTTTTTATGTAACTATTGCCCATTTATCTCTACGCTTTTAGTATTTTCTCATTATTTTGAAAATCACTAACTCAAATAGTCTATGTCCATAACAAAGGCTACAAATTTTGTTTGGTGCTTTACTAATTATGTAAGTTATTCTTCCCTTTGAAGGGAATGTCCTGACTCTTCATAATTTAACTCTTCTGTAGGTCATTTTGTAGTCTCATTCATATGGGTCCTAAATAATTTTTATTAAGGTGATTTTTAAATATTTCATGTTTAGTGGCTCTTACGTAAAGGGTCATTTCTGTTCATAATTTCAATTCAGATTTTGCTTATATGTAGCATGTGGTCAATACAGAAAATTTTATTACTAATTCTAACCATTTTCAAATCAATTTTTTTATTTTCTAAATCTATATCCTGTCATTGCAAGTAATGATAGATTTATATTATCCTTTATAAAAGACATACATACACATTTCTGTATTGTTAAATTAAGATTTCAGCAGAAAACTAATATGTAATGGTGATTGGTGCATTATGATTTTTGTTCGTTTGTAGCAAATTGTGTTCATTTCAAGATAATCTCTTTCCTTCAAATTTTCTAAGATTTAAAAAATTGAGATCTAATTTTGAATTTTATTAAAATATTTTTTAGAATTTCTTGGGACAGTTTTATATATATATATATATATATATATATATACACATTTCTGACTGATACTTGAGATCTTTACAAGATAGACTCTTTGAATTTTAAGGGAATATAACTAAAGAAACTGAGATGGGGACAGGTGATGTCCGTGACTCAAAGCCACAGTGACGGCAGTGGCAGGGTAGGAACTAGAACTCAACTCCCCGTTCAGAACTATGACTTCCTGCTGCAAATAGAAGGGAGGCAAATTTACAATTATCAAGTTATGAGTTGGTTTTTGTTTGCCCACATTTTGCCTTCTCAATCTTATCACCTCAATTATGTTTCAATAAAATAAACTAAAATGAAAAACTAAAACAACAATAACCACAACAAACAAATGAAACCAAAAAACTCAACAGAAGTCCTATCAGAGATCTCATTGTTGTCATCTGAGTTCACCTTGCTGAAGGCTCTGCATCCTGATTCTCTGTCTATCCCAGGGGTCTCTAAATGGTCAATACTGTGAAACAGGTGCAACAATATTATGCAAGTTATCATATTACTGAGTTTTTCTATTATTTTTCCCTTTTATTTGTTATGATGTTTACAATGCTTACTCGTACAGGTATTAGTGAGTACTAAAGGTTTAAGTTAAAATGTATATAACATATAGTTGAGAACATGCCAGGCATTAATTTTTTGTGGATCAAAAAAAAAGAAGACTCGGGCTGGCCCGGTGGCTCACTGGATAAGTGCGCCGCTTGGGAAGCGCGGCGGCGCTCCCGCCCGAG